TGGAAACTTTGGGAATATTAGTAGCCTTTCAAAAATGTCACTCGACAAATTTTTATAGGCCAAAGCAAAATGAATGTCGGATACGGAAACAGGGTATGAAATAGAAAAAGGCAGAAAAAGACAAAAATATTCTGTCCTTTTGCTTGTCTTCCATTCCCGTAATCGTCGATTAATTTTGTTTTGGCCTTGATTCTTCCTTACGTCATTTATATCAGTAGGGCTGACTCTAAAATAGAGTTGTCCCAGGCGACAAAATTATATATAATAATTAACCTACAAAAAATTTACATTTTCCAAATTGACCTAGTGATACCACTTATGACGTAAGGTAGGCATTGATTAATTTTTTGCTTATATAAAGCTAGCACAGTATTTAACCTAATGGTGAGAATCTCACCACTAAATTTTTGAAGTCCACTTTCTGGATTATGATAGGTTTCTTCTTTAGTGAATCCTTTCCGTCAATTGTCTGATGATGATAAATCCGGTAAATCCATGGTAAACACTGAAACTCACAAAAAAATTTAAATTAATATTTAGTTTTTATTAATTTAATATTATTATATTCAAAATGTTGTGAAAAATATAAAAGAAAAGGGTATGGCACACTTCCTGGATTATAATATGTTTCTTCTTTAGTGAATCCTTTCGTCAATTGGCCAATGATGGACTTTGAAAATATTTTTTTTTTTTGTCTTTTGGGCTAATTTCCATAAATTATCGACCTTTTGGGAGAAAAAGAATACTATGAAAACATAGTTCCATTTGAAGTAGTTTATTCCTCTCGGGTTTCGACCTTAGACGCACCACACTGCCAACTGGGGAGCTGTTCCTGTATATATATATATATATCAAAACGGGCAATCTTCCTTGCTTTTCGCCGCAAGGCTTCTCCTCTCTTACCTCTCTCCCCCCCCTGTTTTATACCCCTCTATTTCGCCCTTCTCAAACTAGTTAAATCATTCTGCCGCGGGCCGACCACCCCCAAAAACACCGGATTCAGATCACGTACAAGGAATTTATTTGAGGCGCGTATGCGCCATGAAACAAGTTTGCGCCCGCTAGAGTTTTGCTAACCAAGGGCCGCTCTCTGTGTGTGTGTGGGTGTGATATGCGCGCCCACTGACCTCCCCCAACTCCAATTCTCTTATTCCTCAAGAGGACCACTCCTCCATCCCCCTATTCATTGGGCTCTTCTGCTTTTGAAAAGTTTTGTTCGCGAGAACTGAGTATAGCCTGCGCTGAATTCGAATCTTATCAGAACGTTGCTCATAAAGATTACAATTTCGTGACGAGGGTTCTATTACTTTTAAGCATGTAAAATTACAATTTATCAACTAGAATTTATAAATTTCATTTTCACGTATAGAATTTGAATTTTATTATCAGAAAAAGAAATTTAAAGACGCAATTTCTGATTAATTTCGTATTGTAGAGAGATCATAATTTTCATTAACTATGCAATGTGAACTGACATTAATAAGATATGCTTTAGTTTTTGTATTTTAGAAAGACCCTAAAATCCCGATTTCAATTATGTTTTTCTCCCATTTTCCTTATTTTATATCATTCAATTTTCTAAGCTTTTTTCCTCCCTTTCTGTATTTTTCTCTTTCTCTCTCTCTTTATTTTTCCGGCCAAAAACCACAACAACATTAGTTGGTCGATTAAATGAGAAATCGATCAATAAAGGATTAGAGTCTTGGTATAAGAGTTTTTGTAGAAAATGGAAGAGGATTTTTTTTTACCCCTCGTGTGGAAAAGAAGCTTTGTTTCTATCCCTTTAACACTGAGTTCTACCAGTGTGGTTTTATTTTTACATTGGCTTTGAATCCCTTTTTAAAATCCTCTTAAGTTCTCCCTCCATTTTTCGGTCTTCTATATATATATATATATATATACAATAGTTTCGCAACTGTATTTAAAATGAAAAAAAAACTCATTTGCTCCAATACAGTAATCTTATAATGACCCATTTTTTTTATATATATAGAATTAAAAAAGATTAATGCAAATTTTTATTTTTATTTCGTTTAACAAAAAAACCTTTAATATTTGTAATTTTCATGGAACGTTGGTTTGGTTTATCAGCTGATCAATAAATTCGATAAAATATTTGGAACCTGCCCCTTTGCAAAATCGGATTTCAATTTGGGTAAAAGCGCTCTCCCAAAGTTTGTTGATATTTACACAACATATATATATATATATATATATATATATAGAGAGAGAAAGAGAGAGAGAGAGAGAGAGAGAGAGAGAGAGAGAGAGAGAACGGGGAGAAGTTAATCAACATGAAATTCAACTCGTTACATTATTACCAAAAACGTAAATACTCGAAATTATTTTCAATAAATACGCTTTCATACGTTTCTCATAAATAACTTGTTTTAGCAATACTTTTTATTTATTAATTCTCATATTTTACGAATTTCATATGTTTTTCGTTATCAAAAATATGTAAATAATTTTTTTTTTTTTAATTAAAAAATAAATCGAGCGTGAATTTATATTTTATTATTGAATTTTTGTAGTTTTTCTTTAATTAATATATTATATGTTTTTAATTCTTGATAAAAAAATAATATTTTGCTAGTTTAAAAAAAAAAGTGTTGGTTGTAGGTCTATATAGAGGATTAGGAAAAATTCCGCGGTTCGTAATAAAATTCGTGAGTAGAATATAAAGTGGGCTTTCGAGACGCCTATCGTGTCACGTAAAGTCTACGCTTAAACGTCTTATTCTAGAAACGTCCGTGCCTTGGATTCAAGTTAAACACCGTTTCGAAGCTCTCTCGTTAGTCGTCAATCCGCACGGAACACGCCTTGTTTGTTCTAAGTCTTCAACATTGAACTCGATTTACTTCAAAATATTTATCTTTATTTCCACAAATTGTTATAGAATTAAAAAAAAAAATTGACTACTAAAGTAAATTCTTTGAAAATCAAAATTGCTTTCAATAGAATTATTTATTTTGTAAAAAATTTATTATTCATTAGATTCGTTATTAAGTGGAAAATTTTTATCTATAAGATTATGATTTTTGGAAATGTGTAATAAGACGGTGATAAAATTAATTATAGTCAGTGAGTAAGGGAAGGAAGACGACGTGCTCATAGCAGACGACGTGTCATTGGCCTGTTTTTATTTCGACCAATCAGTGATAGAGCGTCATTTACAGTTTCAGTTGATATATGTATGCTTTGTGGATACATTATTTCTTGTGAAAGTGAAGTTTAAAAATTGTATTATTCGGATGAATACTGTGCTAATTTGATAAATAACACTGGTTATTTTACCTGAAGAAAAATACCTAGAGTAAAAATATTTTCTTAATTATTATCAATAACTATTTTGTTTTTTAACTAATTGGAAATAACAAATAATTTTTTATCTAAATTTTTTTTTTATCGTTAAAGTGAAGTTTAAAAATTGTATTATTCGGATGAATACTGTGCTAATTTGATAAATGACAATGGTTATTTTACAAGAAGAAAAAAACCTAGCCTAAAAATATATTCTTAATTATTACCAGTTTTTTTACTAATAGAAAATAACAAATAATTTTTTAAATTTTCATTGGAATATTTTTTCTTATCGTGAAAGTGAAGTTTAAAAATTGAATTATTCGGATGAATACTGTGCTAATTTCATAAATAACAATGGTTATTTTACCAGAAGAAAAAAACCTAGTTTAAAAATATTTTCTTAATTATTATCAATAACTATTTTGTTTTTTAACTAATTGGAAATAACAAATAATTTTTTATCTGAATTTTTATTGGAATTTTTTTTCTTATCGTGAAAGTGAAGTTTAAAAATTGTATTATTCGGATGAATACTGTGCTAATTTGAAAAATGATAATGGTTATTTTACCAGAAGAAAAAAAACTAGCCTAAAAATATATTTTTAATTATTACCAGTTTTTTTTTTTACTAATTAAAAATAACAAATAATTTTTTAAATTTTCATTGGAATTTTTTTTCTTATCGTGAAAGAGAGAGTTTAAAAATTATATTATTCGGATGAATACTGTGCTAATTTGATAAATGACAATGGTTATTTTACAAGAAGAAAAAACCTATCCTAAAACTAAAATAATTATTACCAATAATTTTGCTTTTTTAGTAATTAAAAATAAAAAAAAAATTTTTATATTTTATTCCTGTTTTGAATCTTTTTTTTTGAGTATCCTAAACAAAAACATTTGAATTTCTTTCGTTTATTTACAATAACAATAGAAATATTATCCTTTTTTCCTGCCCAACCCAAAAATCAACATTTTTTTTGCGAAGTAAAGGTGAATTTTTTAATAGAAAAAAAAAATAGGAAAGAATATTTTACGCCCGAATGAAAATCATGAGAGAGAGAGAGCGACTATATTTGGAAATCAGCGATCCGTGAGACGAGCCAAAGTCGCCCTTCTGTAACCGCCCTCCCTCCCTTCAACCATTGCCATTACATTTTGTTACCATGGCTTATACTTCCAGTACCGTGAGCGGGGTATTCTATAAATTTATGAAAATCCAGACAACGCGCACCAGCGCTCCCGCGTTTTCGACTTCCGGTGAGCTTTTGGGGGGGTAAAAGCTTTTATCCGCATATAACGATTGCGCGGCTCAGTTCTTGATTAATCGGAGAACTATCGTATCAGCGTTTTTCCCTCGATTAAGTCGATGGCGAGAGGGTGAAAGGGAGAGAGAGAGAGAGAGAGAGAGAGAGAGAGGGTTTTCGATAACACACAAGCGAATCAGCCCAGCCAAGAAAATAAGAGCACTCAATATCAGAACCAAGTATTTTTCATTTAATGATGAAAAACCCTCTTTTCATTGAAGATTTAGAGTCGCCTTTTTTTATTAGAGAGAGAGAGAAAAGTTTTTTTTTAAGAATTTTTTTCCATTTTTAAAAATATTTTCTTTGAGGAAAATGTAATTTTAGCTAAATAGGAGAATATTAAAATTTAATATTTGTTATTCTTAATTTTTCTATTTTTTGTTTCAGGTATGCAGTGATCTTCGGTGTTTCATTATTGCGATAGAAAATGCTGTCGGTATGTTTAACGCTTACAAATAATCCAAGTAGAAACAAATCCCTGATTAAAATATTTATTTTATAAAAAAAGTTACAATAATTTTTTTTTTATATACATATATCTTTTATACGATTACGTCAGACACAAATTTGGTTCGTTGGGAGTGAGAGCTTTTCTTGCAGACTCTCATATACCCGTTAATAGAATTCGAAGTATTTCCCCTTGCAATTTGAACTCAAGTTCTCGTAGCTCCTCTTGCACTTCCTTTCAATCTCTCCAAGATTCGACACTCTTCGTATCTCTCTCTCTCTCTCTCTCTCTCTCTCTCTCTCTCCTCACTTAAATTCAACACGAATCTTCACAAACATTTCAAGCTCATTCTCGTAAAATTTCCCAAGGTGGTCTTGTCAATGGAAAATTTCTTTTTTTTTTTTTGAACTGAAAATATTTTTTTGCCTTCTTGGTTAAGGAAAAGCTTTTCTTATATTATATATTTCTAATTATAATTTATTTAATTTCTTTTGAATATTTTTGAAGAATAATTCTTTTTTTCGATCTCCGTTGGAAAAAAAAAATTACTTGGAGGTAGATTTTATTTCCAGGAACGTAACAATTGACTTGAAGCTTCGAATGTAGTGCAAGCCTCTTTTATGACGCTTTTATTTACGCTAGATCCGTAAGAAATATTACATTTTCCAAGTAAACTCGTCTTAGTCTCCAGTTTTCCCTTAACTGTGTTCTCTTTTACTTTGGTTCTTCTTATCCAGGAACGTTCTCCTTGCCCCCCCCCCAAACTACCAACCCTCTAACTCAGTGTGCTACTTTTCCTCTTCTGAGAGAAATAGAGAAGGAAGGAAAAGAAGAAGAAGAAGAAAAAGAGAAACTGCTCTCCATTACCATTTATAGTGATTCCTGAACCATCTCGCTTAGAAGGACCAACACATCCAACCGCTCGCCTTGTAGAATCAGCAGCGCGTCTTCTTTCTTTCGTAGCATCTGATTTATGGTCTTTGTCATCCACCGATGCATCTTCACGATTCCCTTTCAAAAACCATCTTATCTTTCTGCTTTTTTTTTATCTCCTTCCCGGTCCACTTTTTCAAATGTATAATATGTACTCCCCCCCCCCATACTGTGTTATATGGTATTTGTATTTTCTTTCGATTAGTTTTCTACAGAATTTGTCACTAAAAATATTAAATATAACTAAATACTCTTTAAAATATGTTTCCAAATGAAAATTAACAACTGGTACGTTTCACTACAACTTTTGGCTTCCAGTGTAGGAAATACCAAAAAAAAAAAAAAAAAAAACGTTGGACAAATTTCCCATCCTATATTGAAGACAAATGTTTTCCTAACTAAATCATCGGAAGCGGAAACCACAAAATACATAACAAAAATTTGCTATGTATTTTTATGAGTGAAGACATCTCGAGAAATCGAAGAATAGCAAAAGCAATGGCAAAGGAATAAACGTTGGCTGTCTGCCAAAGAGAGAGAGAGAGAGAGAAAGAGAGAGAGAGAGAGTCGGATGCCCCTTATGCTGAAAGTTAATTTACGTAATGGCGTGTTTAAAATCACGCGCGCGTTTGGATTCGCGGCTTTCCAAACGACAACGATTCATGTAAAAATTTCTCATCTCTCTCATCCTCTTCAAACTCAATCTTCAGAGGTCATTAACCTCTCCCTTCATCAGGATTTTGTCATCGATGGATTCGTTTTAAAACGAAGGTATAAAAAAATTCAATTTCTTGTAACGAGCGATTGAAAAGAAGACTTTGAAGAGTGACAGAGAGAAAGAGAGAGAGAGAGAGAGAGAGTAAAAAAAGAGACTAAGGGATGAAATATAGAAAGAAGAGACTCGGATAATAGAGCAGAGATGGGGGAGAAGGGAGAGGGAACAGCTATAAAAAGAAAGAACAATAAAAAATAAAACGGAATATCAATCAACTTTGATCCCTTTTTTTTCCAAATCGAATTACTTTTTTTTTTTTATCAATAAGTTTCCTTTTTTTTATTATCATTTCATAAGAACTAAATATTATGGGTTTATATAGTAAAAAAATTGAAATGTCTTTTTTCGAAGAGTTGGAAATTTTTTTTTTAATATACTTTTTTTAATTTTCTTTTTTTCACTTTAAAATATAGATATTTCTGTTAGTAGGACTTTTGAGAAATATTTCCTGTGCATTATTATATGGAAATAATGATTTAAAAAAAGGGTTATTCGGATGAATACTGTGCTAATTTGATTGTTATTTTACCGGAATAAAAAGAACCTAGTGTAAAACATTTTCTGTGCTTTATCATATGAAAATAATGATAAAAAAAAAGATTATTCGGATGAATACTGTGCTAATTTGGAATAATAACCTTTTCAATGATTTCGTATTAGTAGTGTATATTTTTAATAATTGTTTTGTTAAACCCATACTTTAAGAGGTATTTTATAATTACATGTTTAGTGGTAGACTATTCCATCTGCTTCCTGAAATAAATTGCCCAACCCCACATCCTATTTATTTTACACTCAGTTTACTTTCGTAAACCATGTTAAATTACATTATTATTTAATCTTCATTCCTCTCCCTCATTCTTTTTGAACCCTCTCTCTTTCCACTTACAATTAGTTTAAAGCAATGTCTAATTGTTATCATTCTCCATTCATTTGCACCCTCTAATTTTGTTTCTAAGTATATAATTATTTAACATTGAATTTTAATCTCCAAAAGCCCGCTAACCCTTTTCCTGTATATAAAGTCCCTCTAGGAAACTCTAAATTAATCCCTATAGACATAAACTTACAAAAATTAATAATTTAATGGCGGGCAAACTATTTTTCGAAAAAAAAGGTATGCAAAAAAATCGATTTTTTAAACCCCTTAACGTTCTCTCCTCTATTATTAGGAATTAATTTAGAAACTCGATGGAAACTCCTCGAAAATTTACTATACCTCAATGCGCTTATGAGTTTTGAGTTTCCAGAGTTTGTATCGGTAGAAATGTTTAATTTTATGAATTTAAATCAAAAACGTCCTATTTGAAATGTCATCAAGGAGAAAAATTGTCTACACTATATATAAAAGTAAAATTTTTTTTCTCCAAGAGTAAATTGTGTTTTAGAATAAAGGGATGATTTAAGTTGGTTCGCGCGGGAGTTGTGTCTGTATATATGTGTGAGACTGTAGAGAGACCACATTTGTCACCTTAGCGCATCGTTCACCCCTGACATTTTCACCTGGGAATATTTACCTCTATGGCAAATTACTGACGTCGGTCTCTATCGCTTAGGGCTGAGGCTCAAACTTTGCGAAACTCCTGTCCACTATAGACCAGTTTGATTCCCCTCAGGGAAATGAACATCCATTTTGTCTCCTCTGTGTATATTATATATATATATGCTTTAAAAGCAGATTAATTTTTATTTTGACATTTTTCTAAAACTTTTATCATTTTTTTGCTGTTTTATTTTTTTTTCATAATTTACAAAAAAATTTTATTGATTACAAGAAAAAAACTGACAATTTATAAAAGAGGTTATTTAAAAAAAAAAACAATGCAATTATGAATATTTTCGTAGAAATAAAGTCGGCTAACAGAGTCAAGAGATAATAGAGAAAAGATAACGATATACCGACAAAGAAAAATTAATTAAAAACAAGTTGGAAAAATTACATAATTTCCGTAAAAACGTGAAAGTGGAGTTAATTAAACTAAAATGCCTCGAGCATTCGTTGGATGAAGAAAAAAAAATGAAGAGCCATGAAAAAACATTTATTTTGAAATTTTCTAGGGTACTTTAATTTTTTTTTTTTTTTTTTTTTTGAAAAAATTATACACCTTGTGTATAACGAAAATGAAGGAGGGAAATATTGAAAATGGCACAGGTCAAGGTTCTATGAGAGAAAGAAAGAGGCGTTGGCGCTTTTTTTTTTTTTCTTTCTCCACACCCCAGTTTGGATAAGAAAGAAAGACGGCGGGTAATTAAGTTAAAAAGCGTCGTCTCGCTTGCACCTTATCACAGTCCAAGCCCTTTTGTTCTTGCAAAACATTTTTCATCGTTTACGCGTAACAGCCGGGAACTCCCTTCTCTCTTTCTCGACCGTATACTTAGTTCTGCTTTATACCAGGGGCCACCGCATGTTTATTCAAGAGCCTCACGTCCAGAAGATATTCTCTGTGCAAAAGTTTACGTGACAAGAGCAGCAGGGAGGGAAAATGTCCTGTCATGAAAGAGAGGAGAAAAGAGAACGGAAATGAAAACTTGCGTTTTCACGATTTGCACCAATTTTCCGTTTTGTTATTTTTCCCCCTATTTTTCGAATTATGTACTTTAATGATGATACATATTGCAAATGTCTTTTAAGGTTTTCAAAAATTCTTTTTCGGAATGTATATTCTATACATTCTGTCCAAAACTTACGTTACTTTAATTCTCGTTGAGAAAAGTATGTTGAAATCACAGAAAAAACTTAGTCTCATTGCAGCAAAAATGAGTTAATGCTAAACGACATAGACAGTGGCGTCACCAACCGGACTCATTTTTGCTGCATATCAAAATGAGTAGCATACGCTATCATTTTGAGTTCAGGTCTTTTTATCACAGTTTTCTTGTGTGTATCAAATTGATACAAGAATTAAGATCAACTCATGCAACGTTTTGAATCAATATAAGGTATCAAATTGATCCAAATATTTGGATCATTTTCAAGAAATGATCCAGAATATGGGATTATTTTTTGATACCTGAATTGGTATCAAAGTATAACTGTTATGGCTGACATGCTCTTATTGACAAGTTTATTAATTAATTTATTCACTGCACTGAATATTCAGATATTAACAATACTTTTATTATGAATTTTAAGAAAGAGAGAAGCGAAAACTTATAAATTGCGAGCAATTAAATAAGAAAAAATTTATTTCGAAATAAAATACAAAACACTAACCTTCATTTATGTTTATCACATAAGATTTAAGTTAAGTTCACAATCACAACACTTGAAAATTTTTAA